TGCTCTTCCGATCTCTTATATTCACATATGTAATTCTTATATCGATATTAATAAGAAGGGCGATAAGTCAGCTTTTGTTTTTAGGAGTTTGCATTGTGCCGTACCTGAGCGTGCCAACTTTAGATGATCTGATTAGTTAACTTTAAACACTTATAATTCAAAAAGTATTATAGTCTCAACATTTTGGTATTGAAACTTTTGTCTTAAAATGATCTCAGGAATCTACCCTTAACCGTTGGTCCGGTCATTACGGGACACCCTGTATATGAGCGGTCTATGGTAACTGTTGCAATAACAGCGGAACATTCTAGAAGTCTAGTGATAAAAGCAAAAACAGAAGGATAATTATTGGCGCTCTCAAGGTGCCGGAAGTGTCAAAAGCGCGGGCAACATAAAAAGTATTGAAGTAACCTAACAGAAACTATTACACCTGAACTATGTACTAAAGACACTTTAAAATAGTGATAAAACTAAAGATAATGAAGAAAAATAATTAACAGGTACTTTAAGAAAATACAATAACGTTTTAATTTTTGTGATTGCATTACATACATATACTATTATTTCCATCATTTGTGAAGGAAGCATAGCCGTTATACCTATTTGACAAAGCCAAACGACGCATTCGATCGATGGTGGCCGTTTGGTGAACAATAACAGTCAAAAATTACATAAGCAATGTTGAAGATCATACGTTTCTACGACGTTCGGGCGAGATATCATCTGAACCGTATGTACGCGCAGAAGAGAAATATCGGAAATATCGGAGCAGATCTACAGAAAACGATAGAGAAAATCCCACGCATCAGATCGCCGAATCAGCCGCCTCGAATTTGGAAACAGATCGAAAAGGTGAATAAAGACGGGAAGTTGACAAAGTTCACAATCCAGGAGATTCCTGAGGACCGGTACGAGGACGTGGTTAAACACATGTGCACATACCTCATACCCGATGAACCGATTTGCCAATGTTTGAGTAAGTTACACCGCGGGTTTTCCGATTGTTCGATGACGTAATGTTTTTTTTTTTTAATAATTTTCTCATTCAGCATTCACGGATTTCGGATAAAAGAAAGATCATTTTTTTATAGAATGATCTTTATTAGAGGAAAGAATTATCTTTGATTTATTTTTGATCTGTTTTATTTCCAGATGCAAAAGACGACCCTGTATTCGTGCAAGACATGAGCATGCTATGGCGCTTAACACTTATACAAGGCATATCCATAGCCACATTCACCGACAATCTCAACGGTGAAAAACCTATAATCGCGTCTGTAAATCTTTTGGGTATCGACTTTAAAAATCAGAAGAATAGTATGATTCACCAGGTAAATGCTATGTTAGCTTTATTAATAAACTTGATTGCTCTTTGTTCGAAATATAATTGTTTTACCATAGCTTTATAATTGTTTTACAAGCTTTATTATAGGTATATAATTATAATACTATATACGAGGTGCATTCAAGTTGTAGTGCCTAATAACTTTTTCCTCAGAAATTGAAGCAGAAGAAAATTAGGAGCAACTTGAATACATCTCGTACATAATAATGTAATTGTAGACTATAGCCATTATAAGAAAATATAATTATACATATACATATAATGTAATGCAATACACATATATTATAGACATTATGTTATATTATAATTTTATCATGCAGTAACTTTGCCAGTTGAAAACACTAAAATAGAGGCCAGTGTGATAAGCAGAATAGATATCAGTACAGAAATATTTAAGTACATCAATATATATGTATAATAATAAGTGTTAAATATTTTAGCCTTTATAGGCAGCTTTTATCCTTTGTCGTAATATCGTATCGAGAGAAGTTTCCTATTATTCTGTACATTATAATATACTATAATATATTATCGCAATGTACGATTGCGTAACTAATTGTAAGTTAAAATTGATAATTGTTGCAGTTTAAATCTGAGAATTGCAGAAAGGCGATAGAAACGACTGTTTATTTATCAAGGATAGTATACGACTATTATGAAATTGACAAGTATCTATATTCTGTCGGGCTTTGGGTAAACTCTGATTATCGAGGATTCGGATTAAGCAAGGATATGCTGGAAATCAGGTGACTAATGTCAAAACATTACTTTCACACATAAATAGTACGGTAAATTATGGAAGTGCCGTGTCTTTAGAGTCTGAAATTTTTCAATGCGAAGTAGCTTTTCTAATTTTTATAAAAAAGTTTCATATCTGAATAATATAGATTTAATAATACCTATAGATTATTTTTCATTTCTTCATTAATGTTTGTTTGTTTAATTACATATTTGTATAATTATATATATAATTGATATTAGAAAACAAAATAATAAAAGTTACATATTTTTTAAGAATTTGGAATTTAACGAAAACTTTTACTTATCAGTCATCATATTGACAAGTTGGCCTCATTACTGTCTTCTGTGATACGCAAATTATTTTTGATTTCTTATTTACTCGATTTTTATTAATTCATCCTAACATGTTAATCAGTTTTATTTAATGTCTCGTGTAACTTAAATCTGAATGTAGGAAATTTATCGGACTTATGTATGGAGTCCCGGTAACAGCCTCGGGGTTCACATCGATAATTATGCAAAAATCAGCGGCAAATGCCGGCTTCGAAGAACTTCTGACGAAAAACTACTCTGACTTAGTGGACAAAGACGGACATGAATATTTCCCTGGTATTAAAGAAAAAACGTTTAAAGTCATGAGTAAAAAATTGAAGTATAATGGAGGTAATATGAAGAATATAATATAATTATATAAATTATATTTAATATATATAATAGTGTGTGCAAAGCATTATATATGTAATTTGTTAATACCAAAAATTAATTAGGTATATAAAGTGTATCTGTTAGTCCCTTATATAAATCATGCAATCAAAGAGATCACCAAAAGACTATAGTAGTCGCAATTCACATACGGCGGAAGATAAGCCCCGATAGAAAAACGTAATGGATTATACCCAGCAACCCAATGCGAGGGTTACGATCGTCAGCATGAAGGATCGATTATGCTGTAATGATATCATATTATTTTACATTTTTAAAAACTGCAATGTGCAAATTATTTTTAAAAATTACATATATAAAAAAATTATTGCAAGGAGTTTTCTCTCCTGCGGCTTAACATTTATAAATATTTAAAGTATTTTGTTAACAAAATGAGTTAACTATAAGTAGATTTTCTTATCACGATCTTAAAAAGATAGCTTAGATCGTGGATCGCTACAAGATAGCTAACAATAAGGTAAATGTTTATGACTATCCAGACAGCACGAATGTATGTACTTATATATGAGACTACTTGAGAGTACTTATATATATACTATAAATGAGACATAAATGAGACATAAAAACGTCTAAAAGACATCATTTATATAAATGGACCATCATATTATATAAAATATCTTAAAGACATTCTTAAAATGTCCTAAACATGTCTTCTGATCCACTTTTGAACACATACTTTGAACTTGAGTGCCTGGGTAAGTATTCTTATCAAAATAATTATTTGCTAGATACTACATTGTGTATCACTTTGAAGAATAATGTTGCTTAATTACTGTCGATAACGGTTAAAACGATATGTAGTACTGGACGGAGTGTGCGATAAAATTTCTTTAAGGTAAACGTACCAGTGACTGAATATGTATCTATATTGTACACAAAATTTATTAATCGCAAACGTTTTTTTTTATTATAATATCAAAATTACATTATAAAAATATTTAAAAATTACAATTAAATTATAATATTATAAGAAAAAGCATTTAAAAAGAAGTTTTTGTGTACGTATTCTGATATAGGTATGCATGTTCACTGGTACGTTTATTTTAATGTTTCATCTTGACGGACCTAAAAAGAGAGAAATAAATGGTATGTATATGTGGATATGGATCTCTCCTTCTATTATTGTGCTATTGGCCAAATTTTGTAAGTAAAGAGAGAATAGCGGTGTATACTTTCAAATCAAAAACTATATGTATTATAACGTATAAGTGTTAATGCTGCATATATAAACGGTGATTAAAATCGGAATTATTATATGTACGTATAATACAAAATTTATAAATATGTAATTTCTTCATGCATTCTACGTAAAAGTGATGCTCTGAACACAGATGTATCAACTCATGTGTAAGTAAAATTAATTATGTGCCTTAATTTGACAATGAATTGTTACTATCCACATCTATCTTTCTCTTTTTAAGTCTGCATGTTAAATTTCGATTCTATGCACGGTCCAGCAAACACATGTCGATAGATTAAAATTATATGCATTATATTCCCATGGACTACGACTTACGTAAATATCAACATGAATCAGCGAAAAACATGAAAAAATTTACATAGACATTTATGTAAATTGTCATGGAAGAATGACAAAATCACATCTTAACTGTATGCATACAGAGTTATATTACCTAATTTCCATGTAAAAAAAAATATTTCTATTCGTCTTTTCTATTTTCGTTCAATTTTTATCTGCAATGTCAATACGTAGTACGTAGTTTGTGATTTATTAATAACTCTGATATTTTGCTTACTTATCAAGAGATAGTAAAATGAAAAAAATGTTCTTTGAAATTTTTAAAATTATTTATCGTATTTAGAGCAAAGAAGCAAGAATAAATAAAAAAGAGAAAACTCTTTATCAAAGATTTTCAAGAATTTCTTACATAATTACATAAATATGTTCGCAAAAATGTTTGCGAACGTTTATGTTTGAGCGACTTTTTAATTAGTGTATAATATAAATGTAAGAATAAACAAATTTTTTTATGTATACATGAGGAATATAGTTTTCTCCGTATATGCACAAGACAGAATGATTTTGTCATTTACGTTAGTTCATTATACGGATTTTTGCTTGTTTTTTACCATTTTGTAGTTTTATACGTTACATTAATTTTGTATTTCATGATAAATGTTATCAACAATTATTTACTAAATGTAACATACACTCAGATATTACAAAATGTATAAACGCGAAAAATTTACGAACATTTGATAAACGCGATAAAACATGTGCCTAAATTAATTATCACATCGATATGAATCTTTAAATACTAAAATATAATAATAAACACGCATATTCTTTAAGATAAATAATTTTCAATGTTATTTGAAAGTAGAATAACTTCAAGGTCTAAATATGAAATACGAAATCATTTGAATATTTATCATAAAAGAGTACAAAATATTGTCGATATATTTGTAAAATTAATTTTATTAATATAAAAATAGAGAGCTTATTAAAAATTTACTTCATTTTTCTGTTTTCCGCAGAAACTTTAAAAACAAATATCTATTGTTCCAGTTATTGAAATTCTCGCGTATGTTTTAATAGCGCGATTGATTATTAAGTTTTCCATTTTATTACAAAATTAGCAGCAATATATATGCACATGTATCAAAATATGTTACGTAAATACCCGATATATTAATCTGCAGAACAGGAGAATCGCACGCTGCAGTGATAAGGAATAGATAAATGCACTGTCAAGTATTTATCTTGCGATTAATACGAGTTAATTATTGCACAAGAAACATATGTAGACTATTAATAATTAATAGTCTACATATGTTTCTTGTGTATTAATATAACATATAACTATACATATATAAAAGTATAATTATAAAAGTAAACTGTTTATATTTCTAAATTAATATATTGCACTCGCGCTATTTCATGTTAAAACGCACGCGATAATTTCAATAATTATAGAGTAAGTTGTTTTCAAAGCTTTTGTACAATCGTGTAGTATATTAAAAATATAAAGAATTTGCTTTTACAATTACGGTAAATGCTATTGTACATACAGTATATTTTTATTATTTTATTATTCATCTATTAATCACACTCTTGAAATTAATATTATGAAAGCTTATTAGATCTGTTAAATATATTTATTTAAAAGTCAAATAAAATTACATTTGTTTTATTTAACTGTCGGTATAGGTTTTGTGCTATTATTATCACACTTAAATTGTTAGTTTAATCATTTCACTCTTCCTTTCAAACCACGATAATTTTCAAACATCGCAGTCCGCAGTTATCGCGAGAACATTCCATCTCTTGAGAACACATACAGAATATCGTAGATAAGACGAATGTCAGAAAGAAACTCATATATACAAATAAGATAGACAGGAAAGACGATAACATATTTACATTATTGCGATAGCACTACACGTTACATCCGTTATTCGCGAGTAGCGTAGCGAGCGTAATATTTCAGTTGATAATAAAGCCAGACCATTCGATCGACAGTAGTCGTCCGACGAACAACGGGCAGATATCGGCGCACTAATGTTGAAGATCGTACGTATCCGCGACGTTTTGACAAAATGTCCTTTGACGCGATTTTACACGCGGAAGGTAAGCCTACCAGCCATCGGAGCGGATCTACAGAAGGAGATAGACAAGATGCAGCGCTTCCGATCGTCAGACCAGCCACCTATAGTGTGGAAACACATAGAGAAGACGGACAAGGACGGGAAGCGGTTGAAGTTCACGATTCAGGAAATACCCGAGGACCGGTACGAGGACGCGGTTGAACATATGTGCGCGAATTTCTTAGCCGACGAACCGACCTGTAACTGTTTAAGTAAGTTTCGTCGATTGTTCGAAAACGTTCTTTTAGTGGCGATCTCATTTACCTTTTGTGAATTTAATTGTAAGATACAAGAAATAATTAAAAAAAGATCTCGCAAACTTCCATTTCCAGAATGATTTCTAACGAGGAAAAAAATTAATAATTTTCTTTTGTAATCATGCATTGAACACCCGTTCTGTTTCCTTAGAAAAATTTAATATTGTAAGTATTAAATTGGTTAGTAATTAATTATTAATTTTGAGTGCTAAAAATACTGATGTTAATCACTAATCAATTTAATATTTACAATTAATTAAAATTCTCTAATATCTCTATATCTTTATTATATGTAATATGTAATAATATATAATTTCTATATTTTATTTGTAGATGCGATAAATGATCCTATATTTGTGCAAGACATAAGCACGTTATGGCGCCTATTAATTGTTGAAGGCATATCCATAGCCGCGTTCATCGATAATCCTAACGGTGGGAAACCCATAATTGCCGGTATGAACGCTATGGGTATTGACACTAAAAATCAGAAAGATAGCATTTCCGGTTACCAGGTTAGTTACATTATTTGTTAGTGAATTTTATTTGCAGATTGCTATATTTGAGTGAATTTTATCGTGCATGTTTCATTATATATGTCCTCACAAGTGTATATAATATAATATAGATATATAATATGATATATAATATAATATAATATCCTAATTATATTATAATTAAGATAATTTATATTATCATACAAAAACATTGAAGAGCAGGTTATAAACATAGAGTGTATAAACATTTATGTCATTATGTAACAATCGTCAAGTGTTTTGATCTTCTCATTGGTGTCCTTCACCTTTTGTAATATTGCGTCAAGGAGCCTTTTATTGAGCGAATTGTGCTTTTTTGTTTCCCATCTTATACATTATCTCTCTTGTACATTATCAAATACTATGTTATCGCAATGTATGATTATGTAACTTATATTGAATTGGGATTGCTAATTGTTACAGTTTAAGTCAGAGAAGTGCAAAAATACGTTCGATATCGTATCTAAAGCAACGAAGATAGTGTACGAACGTTATGGAGTTGACAAGTATCTGTATGCTATTGGACTTAGCGTAGAGCCCGATTATCGAGGGTACGGATTAGGCAAGGATATTTTGAAAATGAGGTATGACTTATGTTAAAACACGTTAGTTAATACACGAAAGATAGATACATGAAGTTACTAATTCATCGCTACTTCACAATCCAAAATTCTTTAAGAAGATAAATATTTAGAGCAAAGTAGAGCTTTTCTATTCTTTTTAATAATAAATTTCATATTCGTATGATGTGGATAATCTGTCATCTTTGAGCTCTTTTAACTTTTTCGATATAATATTTAATAATAAAAAAATATAAAACAGTTATATTTAATATTTTTAAGAATATTCAATTTGACAAATTCTGTACAGGTCAAATTTATATTTATCTTGCCGACTAATCTTATCTTATCTTATAATATTGATAAATTGCCCCTGCATCATTTAGATACAAGAACTACTTCTAACTTTTTATAAGTACTTGATTTCGATTAATTTAATATCTATCAGAGTTATCAATGTTTCGTATACTCTATAACAAATCTCGATTTAGGGATCTTGTCGGACCTAAATACGGAGTACCAGCGACATCCACTGCGTTTACAGCGATAAATTCGCAGAAGTCAGCGGCGGGTGCGGGGTTCGAAGTATTCTATACGAAAAAATTCGCCGATTGTGTGGACGAAAATGGAAAAGAATATTTCCCCGGTATTAATTCCAAAGAATTTCAAATCATGGGTAAAAGATTGCTCTAATATGGCCTTGGCGATACTTAAAAAGATTTACTTAATTTTGTAACTTGGAATAAGTTTTACACACATTAGTAAATTCCTATTGTAAATTGCTCAATATTCCTTAATATTACCGTGATTATTATGATTTAAATGACCAACAAAGGTCACATTATTATCGATTTTAAAAACGTAAGCAGACATAATTTCCGTTCTGATAAACATGTATCCACGGCACTCGGAATATACATATATAAGTAGTTATTACAAAAGTTTAATGACATACCTCCCATGCAAGCGTCGCGAAAGAGCGTCGTTTTGCGAGTTGCGCATAACAAAATCCTATTAAATAATATTATATACAATTATCTTCTACGAGATAACGAATAAATTGTTAGTTTTTCCAAGTTTGATGTAAAGGGCAATGGGAGAAAGTGATCGCATTTTATTTGAAAGTAAAATTGATACTTTAGTTTCCGAAACGTAAAATCATCTGCACCATTGTCCATCATTTGTACCATTACCATTTTAAAGATACTCAAGTATTACATATGTTTTTTTGTAAATTGTCACGCAACAACATGTATGTATATATAAAGAATAAAGAAATAAAAAATTTTGTATTAAAAGAGAAACAGGAACTTTTAATAAATATATAAATAACATTTTTTAACTTATCAAGATTGAAAAAAGATCAATTTTATTTGACCAATTATTTTAACATTTGTTTAATTTATTAAATAAAATATTTGTATAATAAGTTAAACAAATAATAAGAGAGAAAAGGAAGTTGCTGTAAGTGGAATCATCTTTTTCTTTTTGTTCTATATAATTTGCACGTTCCGAGTAAAAATTCATTTTTATTTTATTCAAAAGAGATTTAAGAGTATCTACACTCATTATTTGTACCTTTAGTCACTTTAATGTAATACACATAATCTTTCTTGGAAGTTGATATTCGTATTCTTCTTTTCGTACTTTTCACAACATTATCATTTATCAGATGATTTAACATTATCGGATGATTATAATTTGCCAGATAATTATCTAGCAACAATTATTAGTAAATTACTTAAGCAATCTTATCTTTTTATAAGATTGTTCCGTTTACAATCGCACGGATGTTATTATGATTAAATGCATCCTGATTAAATTAAACTTTATACATATAAATAAAACGATATCTTTTTTTTGAACCAAAATTTTATTCAGTAAGAATCAAATCAACAATACAGGCATGGCATTTATCCGTCAGAAAAATTACCACATAGTTTACCACCATCGAAAAGCGAAACAACCGGCCCTAAATTTTATTAAAAAATAACTTTTACAGAACTTTGGCAGTGTGTTAATATAATTCGACACAAATGATAAGCTTTACTTTGCGAGCGTACGTGCAAAGTGTGCGAGTATTTCTTCAAGTCACACAATATACATACAGATAAATAGGTGACGCCAAAATTAAATATTTGACGTTATCAAATTTAGCCTATCCATTTTAAGGGAGATAATTATTTTGTGCAATAATTTATTGTCTCGATTGAACGATGACCGAGATATATTTGCCTTATATTTGACATAATTAATCATAGATTTGTTACCTTAAAACATTTTTTGACTCACCGATCCGATGCGTAACAGGCGAAGTTATTCTGCCACGTAGCTACAATGATACTGTAACACACAAACATAAAATTCAAATTAAAAATTCAATTAAAATGATTAACATTTCGAAAGACAGTTCTTAAACAAGTATAAAGAGAAAAGAAGAATGCTATGAGTGGGATAGCCTTTTTCTTTTTGTTCTGAATAATTTGCACGTTCACCGACTAAAAATTTTAATTCATATATCTTTTACTATAATGTAATATATTTTCTGGAAGTCTTTCTAAGAATAAACTTTTATAAAATGTGTGTTTGATTTTCTCTTTCTTTTAACTATTTTTACCGAGATAAAATGATTCGAAATGTGAAAGAATTATTATTTTCGCGCCTAATGAGTAAGTCGCGTGAAATATCTCGAGGAATTGCTGTCGCCTCGATACATAATCGATAAGTACGAAACATTTACAGTGGAACCTCGATAACTCGAAAACCTCTATAAGATGAAAATTTTGTTCATCCCTTTCCGCTCCGCTGCGGAAAATCTTTATAAATCAAAATAAAATCTATCTTAACTCGAATTATTTGTCAGGCATTTAGATATATATTTTACTTCTGTAATTCGAATTTAAAGTAGCCAAATCTCTGCAAGTCGAAGTAGTACATGAAGCGTATCTCGTAGTCTATCTCGATTGAATGCCCCTGAATGATAGCGCGGCGAAGCTTTGTGTAATGCGTATACGCAACGGTGCGGCGTCCTTTGTCTACGTTGCAGCGCGCGCTTTCCGAGCAACGGAAAATATCAAGGTAAGGTCACGCGCCAACTACTCGTATCATTTGAAAATATATAATGCTTCGCGTAAAATATCCATGTCAAACATTCTGTTTCGTATAGATTGATGTCACTTATCACTACACATTTTCCATTTTATTCTAAGAATTGTGTAACATCGTTTTAAGATATCGTTTTTAAATTCGTGAATTTTTATTAAAACAAACATTGTATAATTTGCGTGTAATAGTTAAGATTTTTTATTAACAATTGTTAATAATTGTTTAATAAATGTCGATTCAGTGTTACAGTATTAAAATACGAAAAACGAAGAAATAAAAACGCTGAGCTGTGAAAATTAATAAGAGACTACAGATCACATTTAGAGTGATAAATGCAGTATTTATTAAGTTTAAGTCACTTAATACTCGAATATAATTGTAATCTCGATGATGTTTTCATAACCAAATTTTTGACAATATGGATAAGAACTATTATCAAATGCAAAATATTTAACTATAACATTAAATGAAAATATAAAAGAAATCACCTAAAAAAATGACGCTGCATGCAAGTCGTGATTCACGTAGCGAAAAACAGATCCCCTGAAATAACGTAATGGTTACAATAATCCGACGCAAGGTCACGATCGTCAATCATAAGGATTAATTATGATGATAATGATATCATATTATTTTACATTTTAAAAATTGTAATGTGCAAACTATTTTTCTAAAATAACATATATGTATAAGTATAAAAAAAAAATCTTTGCGAGAAATTCTCTCTCTTGCGGCTTAACAATTATAAATAATTTGAAATTTCGCTAACAAAATGAGTTAACGATAAATATTAAATTTTATTATCACGATCTTACGAAGATAGCTCAATTATTGTTAGATCGGGATTGTTACAAGATATCTGATGTAGATGCGTTTATGACTACTCATGACAGCACGCATGAACAAAAATGAGATACGTCTAAAAGATGTCATTTAAACGACCCATCATTTCATATAATTAAAACATCCTTAAGACGTCTTATGATCCTTTTAAATATATATTCAAATGAATTTGAATATTGCCTGGATAAATTTGTATTCTTATTGAAATAATTATTTACTAGACTATATTGTGTGTTACTTTGAAAAATAATGTTGCTTAATTACTGTCAATTATGAGAGCAATTAAACATCATATAGTGGATGAAGCGATGAGACGAAATTTCTTTGAAATCTTGACGAACCTACTAACAAAGAGAGAAATAAATATATATTCACGATTCTCTTTTCTTTTTCTACTATTGATCTATTGACCGAATTTTGTTTTTACAAACGGTGATTTAAAATCGGAATTATTACGTGTAATTTAGAATTAACAAATATATAACGTTTTCATGTATTGAATGTAAAAATAATGTTCTGACTATAGATGTACCAAACCATATAATACAGATCATTCAAAGAGGACTCAGTCATATGTCATCAATTCTGAGTTCATTTTCGGATGCAAAAAGAATTGTTTTTCTAAAAATTCTGAAGAATTCTTGTTGCACCTGAAAATAAACTCGTTGTCAGAATCGATGACATACGACTGATACGACTGAATATACAAATGAATTTTTTTTTAACTCTGTGTACTATCTGGGAAATCATATGTAAGTAGGATTAATTAAGTGTCTCATGGTTCTTGATCTACATGAATCGCTATTACTCACACATCTACCTTCTCCTTTAAGTCTGTTAAGAGTTTCGATTCTATGCTCTGTCCAGTACTGTATATCGATGTATCGATGATTTAAAATTATGTACATTATATTCCCATGGACTATGATTTACGTAAATGTCAACATGAATCAGCGAAAGATTTACATAAACAGTTATGTAAATTGTCATGGAAGAATGACAAAATCACATTGTCTTATCTGCATGTAGAGGAAGTTACATTGCCTAACTTCCATGTCAAAAAAATATTTTTACTCATCTATCCGCGGTATTATATTTAGTAATTAATAACTCTGCGATATTTTGCTTACTTATCAGAAGAGATAAAAAAATGAGAAAAAAATTCTTTTAAATTTCTTTTATCATTTATCATCGTGTTTAAAGCAAAGAAGCAAGAACTAACTATAAAAAAAAGAACAACTAAAAAAGAGAAAACTCCTTATCAAGGCTTTCAAGAATTTTTTATAGATTACATAAATATGTTCGCAAAAGTGTTTTTGATATTACGAAATGCATGAACGCGACAAATTCTGCGAGGATCCGATGAACGCGACATAATAATATCGCATTAATTATCATATTGATATAAAAACTTTGAACGTTTGAATATACTAAAATACAATAGACATGCATATTTTTTAAGAAAAATTATTTTGAACGTTATTTGAAAGTAGAATATCTGCAAAGACTAAATATGCAATAATAAATCATTTGAATATTTATTATAAAACAATATAAAATATTATTGAAATATTTGTCAAATTAATTTTATTAATGTAAACAGAGCACATTAAATTTAGCTCCATTTTTACTATCTTCCGCAAATCTTTAAAAACAGTTTACTCCAGTTATTGGAATTATCGCGTGTTCTTTTAATAGCGCGATTGAGCATTAAACTTTCAACTTTATTACAAAACTAGCAGCATACGGTACCAAACATGTTACATAAATATCCGATAATATTAATCTGCAGAAAAAGAGAATTTCAAGTATACGCAGTGATAACGAATAGATAAGTACTCTAGCACTATCAAGTATTTATCTTGCAATTAATATGAGTTAATTACTACACAAGAAACACATAATGACTATTAATTATCATAACATGACTACGTATAATTGTAAAAGTAAACTCTTACACTTTTAAATATACTGCACGAAAGTGCAAACTCTTCACAGTTTCAAATATTGCACAATTGCGCCATTCCATGCTAAAACGCATGCGATAATTCCAATAATTGAAGCAAGCTGTTTTTAAGGCTTCTGTACAATCGTGCAGTACATTTAAAAATGTAAAGAATTTGCTTTTACAATCATACGGTAAATGCTACTATAGGTCCAGTATATCTTTATTATTTTACTATTCATCTTCACTATTAATCATAATCTCGAAATTAATATTATGAAAGCTTATTAGAACTAAATAGATATATAAAGTGTATTTAAATAATATTTAAATAAGTGTATTTCAGTAATGTTTAAAGGTTTGTTTAAGAAGCAATTAAAGTTTTTTTTAACTGACGGTAAAGGATTTGTACTATTACTAATTCACATTTAAATTGTCAATTTAATCATTTTTCTCTTTCTTTCAAACAACGATAATTTATAACATCGCAGCTATCGCGAAAACACATTTCTATCTTTTGCGAACACATTTTCAGAATTTCGAAGATAAGGCAAATATAAAAAAAAGTTCATATATACAAGCAAGATAGGAAAGACGATAACATATTTACATTGTTGCGATAGCACTGCACTTTACATCCGTTATTCGGGAGTAGGGCAGTGAGCATAATGGTTAATAGAGCTAGATTCATTCAATCGACAGTGGCCGTCTGACGAGCAACGGGCAGAGATCGGCGCGTCACTAATGTTGAAGATCGTACATTTCTGCCACATGTGGACAAAGTGTCTTTTCATACTATTTTACACGCAGAAGATAAACCTTAGGTAAAGGTGCCACTCATCAGAGCAGATCTACAGAAGAAGATGGACAAGATGCAGTGCTTCAGACCGTCGGGCGAGCCACCTAAAGTGTGGAAACACATAGAGAAGACGGATAAGGATGGGAAATTGTTGAAGTTCACGATTCAAGAGATACCCGAGGACCGGTACGAGGACGCGATTGAACATATGTGCACGTACTACATAGTTGACGAACCGGTCTGCAATTATTTTAGTAAGTTTTATCGATTGTTCAAAAACCGAGCGTTCCTTTAGTGACGGTCACACCGTTTACGGTTCGTGAGTTTAATTGTAAGCTAAAAGAAATAATTAGAAAAAAGTAAAAAAGATCTCGCAAACTTCCATTTTCAGAATGATTTACGAGAAAAACGATAATTATCTTTTATAATGACGCGTTGCATTTGTTCTTTTTCCTTAAAGACATTTAATACTTTAAGTATTAAATTGGTTAGTAACTAATTACTTTGATTTTGAATACTAAAAACACTGGCGTTAATCACTTACTAATTTAATACTTACAGTATATTAAAATTCTTTAATATCTCTATTTCTCTATTATTATATATAATAATATAATAATTATATATAATAATTTTTATTATATATAATAATTATATATAATAATTATATATAATAATTATTATATATAATAATAACATTATCTAATTCCTCTATTTCATTTGTAGATGCGAAAAACGACCCTTTATTTGTACAAGACATAAGCATGCTATGGCGTCTAGTACTTATGCAAGGTATATCTATAGCCGCGTTCGTCGACAATCCTAACGGTGGGAAACCCATAATAGCTGGTATGAATGCTTTGGGTATTGCCGCTAAAAATGAGAAAGATTTCAGTGCCGATTTCCAGGTTAGTTACATTATTTTTTAATAAATTTGATGGCTATATTTAGTTAATTCTATCGTGCAAGTTTTATTATAAAAGTCCTTACAAATGTATATAATATAATAATGTAAATGTTTAGTATACTATTAATATACACAATAATATAATATAATTATGTTATACTATAATTGTAAGAGCATGCATTAGCAATATATTATCATGCATTGCATTAGCAATATATTATCTTATAGAAACAAAGAAAAACAAGTTGTAAATATCAAGTGCATAAGCATTTACGTCAATGTATTTACGTCATGTTATTATATAATAATCGTCAAGTGTTTCGATTTTCTTATTGGCGTTCGTCTTTTGTAATATTGTATCGAGAAGGCTTTTGTTGAGCCAATTGTGTTTCTTTGTTCCCTATCTATACATTATCAAATACTATGTCGCAATGTACAATTATGTAATTAACAATAAGTTGGTATTGCTAATTGTTACAGCATAAGTCAAAGAATGCCAAATCTTTTATGGAAATCTGTATTCCAACGAAAATGGTGTACGAATGTTACGGAATTGACAAGTATCTATTTTCTTTTGGGCTTAGTGTAGACCCCGTTTATCGAGGATACGGATTAGGCAAGGATTTTTTGAAAATGAGGTATGACTTGTGTTAAGACGTTAGTTAGTTCGCACATAAAGATATATGAAATTATTGATTCTTCGCTGCTTCACAGTCCAAAATTCTTTAAGAAGATAAGTCTTTTTAGAGCAAAGTAAAGCTTTTCTATTCTTTTTAATAATAAATTTCATATCCGTATGATGTGAACAATCTGTCAGTCTTGAATTTTCTTAATTTTTTAAATACAATTTTATTAATGACAAAATATAAAACAGTTATATTTAATATTTTTAAGAATATTGAATTTGATAAATTTTATGCAGGTCAAATTTATATTTATCTTATCTTATTGATAAATTGTCCTTACGGCATTAAGATACAAGAATCACTTTTAACTTTTTATACTTCATTTCAATTAATTTAATATCTATTCATTTATTAATGTTTCATACACTTTATAACAAATCTTGATCTAGGGATCATATCGGACCTAAATACGGAGTATCAGCGACATCCACTGTGTTCTCGTCAATATTTTCGCAGAAGTCAGCGGCTGATGCAGGATTCGAAGAATTCCTGACGAAAAAAATCGCCGATTGGGTGGACGAGAATGGAAAGGAAAAATTCCCTGGTATTAAGTCCAAAGAGTTTAAATTCATGGGTAAAAGATTTTTCTAATATGGACTAATGGATGTGGCCAATACTCAAGAATAACAAGATTTACTTTATTTTGTAGAGTAAGTTTTATGTACCAATACACATTAGTAAGTTTCTGTCACAAATTGCTTAATATTCCTCAATTACCGTGATTACTGTGATTCGAACGAATAACAACAAAGGTCACATCATTATAGACTTAATGTAGAAACGTAAGCAGACGTAATTTTCGTTCCGAACATGCATCCGCGGTGTTCGGATATACACTCGAGTCTCGAAATATATAGGAATTTAAAATGATTAACATTTGAAAAATAATTCGCGAAACTTTTAATATACGTTTTTTAAATAGATATTCTTTATAATAATGTAATCTATTGTCCGAAAAAATCTTTTTAAGAATAATCTTTTATAAAATTTAAGTTAATTTTCTCTTTCTTTAATTATTTATACAGAGATAACACGATTCCGATGCGAAAAAATTAATAATTTGTATTGTATAAGAAATTATATCATCCCGGTTGCTCCGTTGGAACCCGATGCCCATCCTTATTCTACCTTCTACTCTTAATAGTTAGATTGTTCTCTTGTCAGCTTTATTGCATTTCTTCGGTGTGACGTTCTTCACGTTTTTATTTTCTAAAGCATTTAAATGAACGATTAGATTAAATTGAAATAAGTAAAATTTTTTATATAATTTCACATATAAAAATCAATTATGCTCGTCACTTTTTCTCAGGCTGTTCAAGTTGTCATCTTCGTTCAATTGACTCAAATACAACACACGCGAAAACACGAGTAAAAGGGCCGTTGAACAACTCATTGCAATGCTGTTATGTAACTACGATAAAAACATACAGATATTAAATTCCAATTAAAGATGCGTTTAAAATGATTTCAACATTTTGAAAAATAATTCTTAACTCGGAATTTTTAATTCACTTTTTAAATAGATATTTGCCATAACGTAATTTATTTTCTGAAAAAATTTTTCCAAAATTATGCTTTTATAAAATTCGTCTGTTTTGCGCTTTCTCGTCGTTGGGCTGGCAAACATCTCCCACATTCGTCACACAGGAATCACTGTGCGTTTCGTGACACTTCTGTGTTAAGGAGTGCAATGGGTTCAGTTAGCTTTTTTATTTGTGGATTTTCAAATATTGAGCAATCCCATCTTGTCAAAATCGTACATGTTTGAGGAGTTATTACTTTGCAAAAGACGAGAATTGCAAGTGTGAGCAATGATGACGAATAGATAAGTGTCCTAGCACTATTAAGTATTTATCTTACGATAAGTATGAGTTAATTATTGCACAAAAGACATATGTAGACTATTAATAATTATAATATAATTAGTATAATTGAAAAAGTAAACTCTTTACATTTTTAAATACAATGCACAATTGCGCTTTTCTATGCTAAAACGCATGCGATAATTTCAATAACTGAAGCAAGCTATTTTGAAAGCGTCTGTACAATCTTGCAGTATCTTTAAAAATGAGTTTGTTTTTACAATTATATACTACTATATGTGCAGAGTATCTTTACTGTTCATCTAGTAATCATAATCTCGAAATTAATATTATGAAAGCTTATATCTATTAAATAAATATATAAAGTGTATTTAAGTGACGTTTAAATAGATTTGTTTAAGGGTTAAATAAAATTTTGTGCTTTTTTTTTAACTGTTGGTATAGGATTTGTGCTACTATTAATTTACATTTAAATTGTTTGTTCGATCATTTTTTTCCTTCCTTTCAAATAACGATAATTTTATAACATTGCAGCTATCGCGAGAACACATTCTATCTCTTGTGAACACATTTTCAGAATTTTATAGATAAGGCGAAAAAAAGTGTAGAAAAAAAGCTTATATACAAGCAAGATAGATAGGAAAGACGATAACATATTTACATTATTGTGACAGCACTGCATGTTACATCCGTTATTCGTGAGTAGGGCAGTGAGCATAATGATTAATAAAGCTAAATCATTCAATCGACGGTGGCCGTCTGATGAGCCACGGGCAGAGGTCGGCGCGTTACTAATGTTAAAAATCGTACGTTTTTGACTTAATAGTTATTGAAATTACCGCATGCGTTTTTGCGACGTTTGGATAAAGTGTCCTTTGACACGATTTTACACGCAGAAGATAAGCCTTAGGTACAATTTATCGGAGCAGATCTACAGAAAAAGATAGACTAGATGCAGTGCTACAGACCGTTAGGCGAGCCACCTAAGGTGTGGAAACACATAGAGAAGACGGATAAGAACGGGAAGCTGATGAAATTCACAATTCAGGAGATACCCGAAGATCGGTACGAGGACGCAATTGAACATATGTGCACGTACTTCTTAGCTGATGAACCGACCAATAACTGTTTTAGTAAGTTTCATTGATTGTTCGAAAACAGAGCGTTCCTTTAGTGACGATCTCATTTACCGTTCGTAAATTTAATTGTAAGTAAAAGTAATTAATTGTAGATAAAAGAAATAATTTGTAGAAAAAAAACATCTCGCTTCATTTTTAGAATAAATTCTAACGAGGACAAAAATATTCATGCTTTACAATCATGCGTTGCACCTGTTCTTTTCCCTTAGAGACATTTAATATTGTAGGTATTAAATTGGTTAGTGGCTAATTACTTTGACTTTGCGTACTAAAAGCACTAGGGTTAATTATTAACTAATTTAATACTTACAGTTAATTCAATTTCTCTATTATTATATATAGATAATATTATGTAATAAATTTGTTTATTTCATTTATAGATGCAAAGAACGACCATTTATTTATACAAGACACATGTACAATATTGCGTCTATTACTCACGCAAGGTATATCTATAGCCGCGTTCATCGACAATCCTGATGGTGGAAAACCCATAATTGCTGGTATGAACGTTCTGGGTATTAATGCTAAAGGTCAGAAAGATGTCATGGCCGATTTCCAGGTTAGTTACATTATTT